ATAAAGTGTGTCCAATACACAAACAGTGCATCACAGAATACTACTTTAAACTTCCCACTCCTACATATTCTAGCATCTCCCATGTCTTGAGGCAAGAGGATGAAATGGGTGGAATCCCAAAAGCGAGTCCCAGGAGTCTCCCATCTCATCCTATCTCTTGGGGATGTGAGCAGCCCTATCGCCATTGCCATAGACCTAATGATCACTATTTCTGTCTTTCTTGCCTGCCTGGTTGGCCAGGGTTACTTAGCCTTGGTTATCTCTGCCCTGCACCATCATAGTGGAAGAGATAATTGTTTCATGGTGTGAGGAACACGCTGTATGATAACACCCTCCCCTCTTGCCTTTACCACTCACATGTATTTTATGTAAGGCAGACCTGGAGCTATGTGGGCCTGCTCAGCAGCTCTCAGAGATTTTGTTGTTAGCTTACTGATTTGTGCGTCTTGGATTCTTCCATCAGAGTTCTGCGAACTGTTCCTTGTGTGGCCTGGGGCTGATGTCAGACAAAGAGCTGACAGAGAGCAGCAGTGGAGAGGCTCCCACAGGGAAGGGGGCACGGTGGTAGAGCAGAATGTAGGCTGTTTCTCCGTAGATTTGTAGGTCTGGAGGACTCCCTTTCTGGTTACACCTGTCTTTGTTGAGTTGGGGGTCATAGCTGTCGGTTTTGTGTGCAGACTGTGTGTATGTTATGTATCTTATATAGAAAAGGGAATCTGTTGTCAATAGAGCCATCTTCTGAGCCGTGTTCTGATCTAGGCCTACAGGTCTATGGAAGTCTGAAGAAACGTTAATGCAGTGTCTACCTGCTTGTGAATGTACCATACCATTGGGGGGTGGCCTTGATTTCCTTTGTGGGGTCCAGCTGAGGAAACTGGAGCTCCCCTAGTGTCTCCTAACTTGTTCCAGCGAATCCCTACAAACTGAGCCCTCTCTCCCTAAGTCACGGACGTGGTTTGCCAGAAACATGGATGGACACATTTCCAAAGCAAGCTAGTTTGCATCAGCTGCAATCCACCAGGTAGTCTGATACTCCTTGACCGTGCCATTAGCAATTACAGGCTCTTTTACTATAATATGAATTACTGTTGTAATTGTGTGTGTTATAATTGTTATAGAAGGATTAAAGATCACAGGTTCAAAGGGGCCTTATTACAGCCAGAGACGAAAGGTGATACTTATTAAAAAGCCATTGCAGGTGAAGATATTAGCAGCAGGTGACAGGAGACAGTTCCATGCTGACTCCTGTGGCAAAGGAGGAATTCTTTTCACAGACCACTACTCTGGTCGAGCTGGGATTATTTATCACAGAAAGGAATTTCAGGATGACCCAGTATGTAGCAGACTTGGAGTTTGTTAAGAAGAGGTTGTAATTTAGATCTAAAGAGCATGAAGTTTGATAGAAACGGGTTCTCAGAAAGGGGAAGGTTCACCCATGTATGGATGTGACTTTACAGTCTCCAATAATTGTCTTACAGTAATCAGTTATTTTTAAGATTTCAGTGCTTTCTGAAGTTGCATCTCCAATAGTTCTTGAAGAACTTAAGATCATAGACTAGTTCCTAATGACATTATGGAGATTGCTTGAATAGTTAAAGTATTTTAATATAAACAGCAGTCAGTAGTCTTTGATGAAATTCTCCGAAAATACGTGGGAAAGGACTAAGGCCCTGTTTGGAGGTTGGCTATATTTAGGTCTTAAGCATTGTTCATTGCTGTTTCAATGTTTTATTTGAAATATTTGTATAAATGTTTTATTTTAAATAAATATATAAAAGGAATTTTGTTCCTATGAAAGCAGCTTTAACAGCAAAGTTTACTGTTGTAATTTGTGACCTGTATCTAAGTAGAGACATCAGCCAGACCCCAGGGTGAGAGGCTCCTTTTGATTTCATTGTTCTCTCAGTTTCCATCTTCCAACCTGTACAGTTTGATATTAACCCAGCAGAACTGCTGGAGAAGCACAGCAGGAGTGGGATTGTTCACAAGAGAGAGGAGGACTTGAGTAGGCCTTTTCACAAACTGGAGACCATGGAGAACTGAAGCCCAGGGGACAGTCTGGGAGTCGTTGATGGTCCCTTGATGCATATAATGGGTGGTCCCGGTGGCATTTCTGTCACAGTCGTCAGGCTGATGGATTCCAGGGAGGGTGTGTTATCCTCTTTGGACCTGGACTTCTGGACTAGTTCCCAGACCTGGCTTTCCTTGTACAGGTTTACTGTGCTCCCAGGTCAGCATGATTTACAGTATACCTCATTAAACTCAGTGTCGACGGCTGGGTAGGACAGTGATCAGTCTTTGCTTCATGGCTGCTGCATGGGGGAGCTGCAGAGTCCTTTCACGTTTGTATTTTCCCTCAATGGAGCCACACAGGACCAAGAGCAGCTAGGAGACATTTATCTTACACACTGTATAGTGACCTAGAGCAGCTTTTGGTGTTCATGTCTCTAAACTGCGGGAACCTCACATTCTCCAGCTCAGGTGGGTCCTCATGGACCAGCCCACCTCCTGGCATGGTGCACGTTGCTATGAGTAACCTTGACATTGCCGGATTATTTACTAGAGCAAGGCTCCTGGTTTTCCTCCTTCAGCTTTTCTTTCTTCCCTTTCCCTTTTTGAGAGTTTTTATTAATTTTTTATTATTTTTTTTATTATCGCCCCCAAAGTTGGTGTAGAGTTCTTCCCAGAGTATCACATGGAAGGTAGACCCACCATCCCTCCATTCACATTCTCACATCCTCTGTCAGGGTAATTCAGAGTGCTCCTAAAAAGTAGTGACAATGATTCGCTCCCCACAAGTTTGTTTGCTTATTTCTCAGCTTATTTTGCATTGTATTTTGGGGTCTTTTATGAGAGCTCATGATTAATATGGATCAGCATAAATGAGTAAAATTCAGCCTCTGAGAACTATACTTTCAGGTATAAAATTACACACTTTGATATATGTGGATAAAAATAAGACCTTTGTGCCATCTACCTTTAGTGTCAATTGGGCTGCGTTTTGACCAAAAGCATAATGTTACCTGGGTATTAGTGATGTGCATCCTGAATTCTCATTGTATCTATCCTCTTAAAAAAAAAAAAAAGCCTTTGTTTGCCTGACTTACAGAATAGTGGGGAGTTTCAATACCAACCTTGAACTAAACATGTCATTTTCGAGTTGTATTTTGTGTTTAGTTCTGAAACAAATCAAGAAAGTGATTTGTTCTGAAACAAATCAAGAAGGTGTAAGACGTTGTCATCTGTACAGTTCATGCTAAGAACTGCTTAATCCATTTATGGAATAAATTGCCAAAAAAAGTTCTCATGCTGTTTACCTAAACTGTAAACTTTTTGTATTGAGCCACATTCAAAGCTGTCCTGGGATAAAATGTGGTCCACAAATTGCGGATTGTCACACCTAGATACCACAAGGAAGAGTATGGATGGTCACAGACATACTTCTGGAAGGTCCTGCTTGCTTCCTGACAATTTGCAGCTCTTTACCTTCTGTCTCTTTCAGCTTGTCTGGTGACACAGGCTGTTCAGAGTTGTATTTAAGATGAACTTAGGTTTGATGGCATTAACAATGCCATTTTATTTTGTTTCCAGTTTGCAAATCCTATATATTTTCACAAATGATGAATTGTTTATTAATTATTTATTTATTAGCACATAACAAAAAATTATTTTTCTCTAAAAAGAATAGGATAACAATTTTTATTATGAAGTATGAGGTTTAAATGCTTCAAAAATTTATTTCTATAAACACTGAGTATTTTGAATGCTTTGTTTCAACACTGAATTTTGTCATTTAAAACTGTGGATATACTTAGGAAGCAGAAGTCTGAGCTTCAAAACTTAAAGCTAAAGAATCTTAGGATGAAGGACGAAAAGAGTCATTCCTAGGAGAATGTGTCGGGGCTGCGAACCCCATATTAGGCCTTGCAAACCTTTGTTTCTCTGCCTTTCATACTTCTGCTTAGTGTGGTGTGCACGTTTCTTCTGGCTTCCTGGAGTCGTGGATGGCCATGAATCTACATTGTGTTGCCTCCACCTCCCAAGTGCTGGGATTAAAAGTCTGTGCCCCCCACATATGGGTTAAGCAGCGTGTGTGTGTGTGTGTGTGTGTGTGTGTGTTTTAATCTTTCCTCAGGAGCCCAGGGCCTTATGTGTACTATGCTAGAAAATATACCCAGCCATATGTAAATTGTTTGGGATTTATGGCTACCATTTTTAGGTTTAGAAATAAAATATAAATATTAATATCAGTTTTGTTTTGCTGCCTTTTTTACCACATTTCCATTTCTAACCTCATGTGAAAACTGCTTAGAGGTTATTTTAGTTTTTGTAACTTTAAGTTTCTATCTGAATTCTGGACCAGGTAACATTTGGTTAGAACCTAGGTTTGACCATTTGCCATGTATTTGACAAATGATGAAGAAAAAAAAAGAAACATATAAAATCATTCCCATGAAAAGATTATTCTTGATGTACTTCCTATTGTAAGAAAATGCATAATCACTTTAAAAACAAATTTAGCAGTGAATTCTTCCACTGTTGTTCTCCCTCATGGCTGCTAACGGACAGCCCTAGGGCACTGCCGTCAGCATTACTGCCGAGCTGGTCAGCATTACTGCCGAGCTGTGTCGGCAGAAACCCTGACTCCAATCCAGAACTCCTGAGTTAGAATCAGCAGCCATCTAACTCACTGTGACTTTCTCATTTCATCTCATCTATATACAGCAGAGAGTGTTGTGTAATGCTAGTTTATACGCTACATACTTTGGTGGCAATCCTTTGACATTTTAAATGTCATATGATGGTAATGTTTACACTCGTTTGCCAGGCACTGTGTCACACTTAGGTAAGATGCTATAGAATATTAGCATGATATAAAAAGCCCCTTACTGAGCAATTTCAGTTTCCTGAATCATCACTCAACTGGCTCTCACCTTATCTTGGGTGACACTGAAACTCTGATCAGCATGGTATTTTATCTGTGTTCATTTTTATTTCAGGACCAGTTGACATTCAGCGATGTGGCCATTGATTTCTCTCCAGATGAATGGGAATACCTGGACCTTCCTCAGCGGAAACTGTACAGGGATGTGATGATAGAGAACTCCAGAAACCTGATCTCTGTGGGTGAGGACAGCATCCCTACAAAGCCCCAACACACTGCAGCACTTAATGTCCTTCCTTTCGGAAATGTCTGCTCTAACCTGTGCTTTTCATAACCAACACAGATTTGTGCTTTAAAGGACAGTTGTGAGGTCCTTGGCGTACATAAGACGTTCATTCCCATTAATTCTTGTCATCTGTTGTATAGAGTTATGTATCCTTACACAGATTTTATCAGCTAACATGGGCTCTCTATCTATGCAGGCAATTTGGAGTACCAAAATAGTATTTTCCTTTGGTCTCAGTTTTACAAAACTGTTATGTAAAATTCACCTGGTATCTCCTACAGTCTGTAATTGTAGGTAGCCAGGTTTCAGACAGCCCATACAAAAAGGGGGGGGGGGAGTAAATAAATAAATAAAACTATGGTCATTTATTTTTCCTGATGGAGATGGCGATGTGGATTGGCCTAATTACCTTTGCCATACAGGGAAAAGAAGAGTTGTAGTTGACAAAAGTAGCGAACTTTGCTTCTGCTACAGTGAGACTGCGCTTCGCTTTGTGTGGGGCGCACAGCTTAATGTCATCATTAAGTTGTTTCTGTACTTCACATTCACAAAAGTAATGGAAACCTTTGATGCTGTGGTTTTTCCAGATGTTCCAGTCTGGTATAACTTCACATGTACTTACTTATAAACTGTAATCACCAGAGTCCATTAAATTAATTTGTTTTCAATTATTTTACAGCTCTTTCTCATCATTGTACCCTGAACTTTTCACCAGAACAGATCCTAAAATATGTCTTTGAAAAAGTGACTAATGGAAGTTGTGGAAGTTACAGCCTTAAGAGTTTACACAGAAGAGAAGATTGGGCAAATGTACGTGAGAGTAAAGGTCAAACAGCCTACCATGGTGAACATAACCAGTGTGTGATCATAAACAATACCAAAGATGTCGCTGACAACAGAGATCAAGAACAGAAAACAGCTATGGAAAAAACTCATGCCAGGACGGGTATTTTTGATGAGCCATGTATTTATGAGCAAAAATATTTACAGGAAATTTTTCAGTGTAACTTCACTTTGAAAGGAAGTTTGGAAGATCTGAGAGGGGGATTAATCCTTCACTCAAACAATTTTGTAGACAAAGGAGTGAGAAACAGAGAAGCCATCTCTAAAAGTGATCATGTAGAGACTTCCTATCCTGAAAGATCCTTATTCCTCAGTCAGCAAATAGATCCTTCCTGTGGCCAAATACACAATACTAATGATCATAGGTTGCCTGCTATTGATCCATTATTGCACAGCCAAAATCGAGATACAGATATTTGGAAAACCCCCTACATGTGTAAAGAAACTAGTAAAGCTTTTAGTAATGGATCTACACTAAATAATTGCAAAGATATGATTATTGTAGAGAAATCTGGTCAGTGTAACAAAGTACATAATAACTTTGACCATTGCTCAGGTACCAACAAACATCAATGTTCTTCTCCAGAGAACCCTTTCAGTTGTGAAAATTTCTTTACTCAGTGTTCAAAGCTTTCTATTCATCAAGATAACTGTATTCAAGATAGTCATTGCAAGAGTAAAGATTCTGACACAAAGTTTAATCAAACCTCAAACCTTTTGATGCCTAAAATTCAGCATACCCAGAAATCCTACAAGTGTAATGAATGTGGCAAAGCCTTTAAGTATTGCTCTAGTTACAGTAAACACAGCGTAACTCACACAGGAGAGAAACCCTACAAATGTAAAATATGTGGGAAATCCTTTACCCAGCGTGCAAGCCTCAAAAAACATCAGAGAATCCACACTGGAGAGAAGCCCTACAAATGTGAAGAATGTGGCAGGAGCTTTAACCACTGCTCAATTCTTAGTCAGCACCAGAGAATCCACACAGGAGAGAAACCCTATAAATGTAAACACTGTGAAAAATCCTTTACCCAGTGTGCAAGCCTGAAAAAACACCAGGTAATCCACACTGGAGAGAAGCCCTACACCTGTGCAGAGTGTGGCAAAGCCTTTACCCAAAGCTCAACCCTCAGTGAGCACCAGAGAATCCACACTGGAGAGAAACCCTACAAATGTGAAGAGTGTGGAAAAGCCTTTACCCAGTGTTCAAGCTTGAGAAAACACCAGAGAATTCACACTGGAGAAAAACCCTACAAATGTGAAGAATGTGGCAAAGCTTTTAACTGTCGTTCATCTTTTACTAAACACCAGAGAATTCACACAGGAGAGAAACCTTACAAATGTAGAGAGTGTGACAAAGCTTTTATCCATTGCACAAACCTTACTCAACATCTGAGAATCCACACAGGAGAAAAACCATACAAATGTAATCAATGTGGAAAATCCTTTAGTCAGTGTTCAAACCTTAGAAAACATCAGAGAATTCATACATGAGTGAAACCATCAAATGTTAATAATCTAGTAAAGCCTTTATACATAGTCAAAAACTTGCTTAATGTCATATAATTCAAACTGGTGAGTCCCACAGAGGCAGTGGATGAAGCAAAGTCTATGACTGTCATTCACAAGTTTCAGAAAATTAATTCTTCCTGGGAGAAACAATACCAAATTCTTAGGTTTATAAGCCTTTGCTAGACACCACAGAATTCACTTTAGAGAGAACCAAAAATGATTTTTTTAATGTGAAAAAAAATGCAGTTGGCTATCTCTTACTAAATATTGAATTCACGCAAGACAAAAACTGGAAAATGTTCAGAACCTGGCAGTGTCCAACTTGCACTAAACACAAAAATTCATACCTGAGACAAACCCTACAAGTGTAGAAAAAGTGACAAAGACTTTTATGATTTTGCACACCGTAATAGCAGAGTTTACACTGGAATGGAACACTGCAAATATACCAAATGTTTCAAAGCCTTTAAATCAAGGTACAAAGCTTTTTAACATCAGACAATATAGGAAAATTTTCAGCTTTGTCCCAAATGTACAACCTAAAGAGCAGTAAAATACTCATGTTCTGTGCAAGTCTAAAAAGTGTAATAAGGCCATAGTTCATATATAGGCTCTAAATAGAATTGATAGTAGAAGTCTATAAGTATAAATGTTGTAAAACCTTCAGTTGTTGCTTAAGCTTTACACTCTTCATTGACCCTCATAGCTCTCAGAGAATAGTACCAACAACTCGCTTCTCGAAATATATGATTGTATTACATATTAAAAGTTTGTGAATATGCACACTCATGAGAACTGAGCATTAAAGAACAAGACTCATTTCTGAATGTAATGAGTGTTTTTCCAAAGATAATGCATTTTCCTTATCGTAGATAAAGCTATGGATGACAGATGTTACTAATACATTCTTGGGTAAACAGTGGAATAACCTATTAACGATATACCCCAGGACATTTACATGATTTTCCCCAAAACAATGTGGCAGGCTAAGAGGGTTCAGAGTATTTGGGCACTGAGACTGCTGCCTGCCCAGGATAAGAGGGAGAAGAATGCCCTTGAGGCCCTCATGCAGCGCCAGCTTCTAATTGTGACCAGCTCCAACACAGACATTCCCGTGCTGAACATCCAATTTCTGTTACACACAGTAAAGGCCACATGCCAAGGTGAGGGCAGCACAGAGGTCTTGGTGTTTCTTGAACAGATCAAAGGGTGATCCCAGCAGAGCAGCACTAGCTGCTGCTGCTACCACCACCACTGTCTGCAGTCGGCTAGCTTGGTGGAACATGCAGAGGCCAAATGCAGGCATATAACTGTTCAGGGTTGCAAGATTCACTAATGGGCTGTGGTGCCACTGACCTACCCAGGAAGCCAAGAGGGAACATGTGCGCCAGTGTCCACAAGAGATGCCGGGGCTGCACAAGCAGCTGAGATATGACTCCGTTAGCCCTGGGAGCCCTGGATAGGTGAGAGGAGGGGTTGTTTTGAAGTATAAGAAGCCACCTGCTTGAAAGTTCACCTGACCCTTTCTCACAGTGCAGCAGGCATTGGAGTCAATTTTTCCATCTAGAAGGGACCTGGAGAGAAGGAAGGGGTCCATCAGACAGACAGCGAACCCTGATGAATGATGTGCAGGAACTGGCCAGGTGGAGAGGTCTGATGTGTGTCTGTAGGTTGGGATAGGGGTACAAGGGTCCTAACCTGAGCCTCAGTTTTTATTGTGGCCTAAATGGTGTCCAGTCTATGTTGGGACACTGTGTGTGTGACCCAGTCTAGATCAGGGAGTGAAAGGGGGTACAGGCAGAGCTATCCAGGTTTACCCCAGTTAAGAGTTTATAGGATCTGGCAGGCAAAGGGGTTGCATGTAACACAGGAGGGGTCTATAGGTTGGGAGTAAGAGGCAAGCCCCCGGCCCCAGGCTTTAAAGTTTTATAACTTAGAATACTTCCTGTTCTCTCTGCTTCCCGAATGTTGGCTGGTTTCAGGTTCCTGTTGCTGTGCCTTCCCTGACAAAGCAGACTCTGCCTCTAAAATTATAAGCAAAAAGGAAATTATTTCTCCCTAAAGTTGTTTTTATGTGGGAATTGTATCGCAGCAACATAATAGAAACTAATAGGTTCCTTGGGTCACGCCTCCAAAATAAGAGTTCAAAGACATTTGCCCTTTTACCAAAATAGTGATAAAAACAAGGAATGTATTTCATTATTCAGAAATAGGAATAACAGTCATGATAAATGAAGTGCAGGTATGCTCAGTGCTTTAAAGTTGCAAAACTTGAGAGATTTATTTGCCTAGGGTTGTAGGGTCTGATGTATGTTAGGTTCCTATTAAATTGATTCATTTTGTTAATTGGTTCCTATTAAATAGTATTTAAATGAAACTAATGAATTAATCCATTAGTGTCTGTTCTAATAAGATCTGCAGTAGATGAGCACACGTGCTTGGCAGGTGTTTTCTGTTGCATTTTCTGCCATCAGCAACAATGAAGACAATGTAGAAAACCATTAGAAGGGATGGAGTAAGTGATGTGAATCTTTCTTTTAGCTGTGGAGGTTGGCTTTTGAGGTTTGTTGTTGTTGTATATGCATACTCCATGCATGTATTATGTGCATTATTGTGTATCTAGTACCCACATAAGTTGGGAGTGTGACATCCCATGGACCTGGAGCTACAGATGGTGGTGGACACTGTGTGGATGCTGGGAATCAACCCACCTCCTCTGAAAAAGCAACAAATGCTCATAACCAATGAGCTATCTCCCAAGCTCCTATGTTTTTAAATAAAATATTGCCTGTGGATTTGTTCCTGGTGATGTTATTGGGGACCACAGTTAACTGACATAGGGGTTTCCTTGTTTCCATTTTGACATTCAACACATAGTTGGGTTTTTTTTTTCCAAAACAAAACTAAAAGTTAAATGTGAAATAGAGTGAGAACACAAATTTATATTCATTAGACATAGTGTATCTAAACAGATAATTAGGTCTAGATACCCACCTATTCAATATCCAGAAAGAATATAAAATGAGAGGAAAATAAAATAGTGAATTATAGAAGCTATTTTCACTTGGGCAAAATCTGTATGAATTCTGTGCTTTATTATTTGGGGGCTAACGTATCATTCAACACATTAATAGGTTCGGTTGGGAGCTCCATGTGTGCATGCAGTGTTTAGTCATCAACCAACTCAAAATACGCGAAGGAAACATTCAGAATGACTTACCTCACTCCTCCATGCTTGGGGTCTCCAGCATTAGAGTTAAAGCCACTACACTTCCAGGCTGCTATCCCTACGAACACATCGGATAAGGAAGTGGAGTCTGACTCACGGCTGTGGTGCTGCAAATTAGGGGTGTTAGAGGTTGACCTCTCTATGGTCTAGGCAGTTTTATAGTAATACTTTTCTGGAAGCCAAAGAAAGGCAAAATTAGTTTTTGGCATAGTCTAGGAAGTCAATTGAAACTGAAAGTTTGTAGACTAAGAACAGTCTTAGACTTGGGCTCTTTTTAAACTGAAAGCCAATGGCAGCAATCTGAAAGATTTTTCTGTATTTGATTCTCATATGCCAATGAGCTTTCTGAGTAGTTAACTTAAAAACAGGCAAGAAGTCTTTGTAATGCTACAGTGTTTTTTGTTTTGTTTTTAGTTTGTGTTAGTTGTCTAGCTTTATTTTCTAGGATTCAAATGTTTGTTTTCATGATACCAAGTTAGAGTGGTTAGACAAAGTTGAAAATGTTTTGGAGAGTGGCATCTAGATCAGTACTGGAGGACTGTCCATCTGGAAGGTAGCTAAAGTGCCTAAATAAGCAAATCAGAGTAAGAAAAAAATTATTGGAACAATAAGGTATGTTTGGTTGTTGTTGGGTTATTTTAAGAGATTTTGGTGGTTGGTTGGTTGGTTGGTTTTTCAAGACAGAGTTTCTCTCTCTGTGTACCCTTGATTGTCCTGGACTCGCTCTGTAGACAAGGCTGGTCTTGAACTCACAGAGATCCACCTGCCTCTGCCTCCCTAAGTGCTGGGATTTTTCTGTATTAGTTACTATTCTGTCGCTGTGCGAAAACACCATGGCCACACTACAGCTGTGGAGGGTCAGCGTCTGTAAGGACGGGGAGCACAGCAGCAGGTAGCAAGCATGGGAAGCTGAACACCCTCGTCTTGAGCTATAAGCACAAAGCAGAGAGCTTCAGCTCTAAGTAGTGAGTAATTTTGCCTCTGAAAGCCAGCCCCAGGTGATGGGCTTCCTCCAATAGAGCTGCATCTCTGTTCAACCTCCCCCAAACAGCACCACCAACTGGGGAACATATATTCAAACATGGGAGATTTGGGGGCTACGGTCAACTCGCTGACTCCCATGGGCTGCTGGCCAGATGATAACGTGGAATGAATTTAATCCAACTTCAAAAATCCTCATAGTCTTTCCCAGATCGGACCCTTTAAAAATCCAAAGTCCCTTCAGAGACTCAAGATTTTACTTAATTGTAAACATACTGTCAAAACCTCACAAGTTATATATCTCCAGTATATGATAATACAGAACATATATTACCATCCCCCCCCCAAAAAAAAAGAATTAGGGCATAGTGAGAACATAATGGACCAAAGCAAGATTGGAGGCCAGCAGACCAAACACCAAATCCTATAGCTCTGTGTCTAGAACTTTTAATTTCAAAGAGCTTAGGTGATTCCAGCCCTCCAGCTTTGCTGCCTGCAACGTACATCTCTCTCTTAGCTTGGGTTGGCTCCCTTGTATGAAGCTATTCTTGACAGAGGCCTCATGGCTCTGCCGTGTCTAATGTCCTGGGGTCTCCACCACAAACCAGACTTCACTGATAGAGCTTTACACAATGGCATCTCACAGCCTCTTAAGGTCTCACAGACTTCACAAAGGGACTCCCTGCCACATTCTGCCTGGCCTCAGCAGCTCTCTGAAATCACGGAGGGAGAATCTGTGAACCCTTCACTCTTACATATTGCATGCCTTTAAATAGGCAGCGGTGTGTAGAAAACACTGCCAAGCTGTGCACACAGCTTGGGATGAATCTTGACCTATTGAATCACATAGTTTTCATGCAGACATAATTTTACTCAGTTAGCTTTTTAGGAGCAGAAAATGCTTTAGGCTAGTGGTCTAACCTTCCTAATGCTGAGAACCTATAATGCAGTTCTTCATGCTGTGGTGACCCCCTCAACCATAAAATTATTTTGATATGCAGGATATCTGATATGTGACCCCTGTGGAAGGGCTGTTTGACCCTCAAAGAGGTCACGACACACAGGTTGAGAACTGTTGTGTTAAGCTCCCTTTTACAAATTAGAAGCTAGGTGGTCTCTTGACCTGAGAGCACCCTTTCCATTACCGAAGTACAGACGAGGATGTCTCTCCATATGGTGATAATCTTATCTACTTAAGCACATGCTTTGGCTGCAACGATAAGTTTCTGGTGTTCTTTTTATCATATATATATATTGAGTCCCACTTCCTCTTCTTCACCATAGACCTGAGAAACAGTAATTTCTCATAGTCATGCCACAGATTCAATAGTATGCTACCTTGTAATTGCATCTACCAAAGAAATTAGAAATTATGCTGAGACTCATAACCAAAATTTGGGCAGAGTGCAGGGAATCTTATGAAAAAGGGGGGACATAGTAAGACCTGGAGAGAACAGGAGCTCCACAAGGAGAGCACAGAACCAATTTTCAATTTACCATCAAGGAAGTTCTTAAAAGGAAAAAGAGTGAACAGATTCTTTGCCAAAACAATCCTATAAATAGCCTCGAACCAGTTTTAAAAATTGTTTCTTACCTCTTGACAAACCTCTAAAGTCAGCTTTGCCCTAAGAACTACTGTCTTGCAGGCTTCCACTAAAATATCTATTTAAACTGTGCTCACAGCACTCATCTGCCTTTCTAGTCTAAAGTCGCCTTCCACGTTCCTTTAAACTCCGCTGGGCCACTTCTTCACAGCAGCAGCCTGCTCTCTGGTACCAACTTCTTTATGGTTGCTCTGATAAAACGCCATGACCAAGACAAGATATAGAAGACTTGGTGGTCTTGGGTTTGGATTTTGACTTTGTTTTCTTTGGTTTATTGTTCCATAGGCCTAGGGCCCATCGTGGTGGGTATAGAATGGTAGTAGGGACAAGACTCTGAGAACTCGAATTTCAAGCACAAAGCAGAGATAGCAAAATGGATGTGATGAATTTTGGATCTGAAAGCCTGTCCCCAGTGAAATACTCCCTCCATCAAGGCTGCACCTCTAAAACCTTCCCAAACACTACCACCAACTAGGAAACAAGTGTTCAAATACAGGAGCCTATGGAGGAACACTCTCGTTTAAACTCCTACAGCTTGATTCTAAATACAGCAAGAATAACAATCATGTGGGCTTTTAAAATGCAATATCCAGTTTTTGTAATACTGGATATTGAACTTAGGAACAGTACTCTGCCACCCAGCCATATTGGTGGCACAGGTTTTTTTGTTTGTTTGATTTTTTTGTTTGTTTGTTTGTTTGAATGAAAAAAATGCTTTAGATTAAACTTTTAAAAGCATTTTTGAGTCTAGGAAGCCAAAACAATAATATATCATCATCAACTTCTTTTGCAGTTCATTGGTAGGTTGCCTGCTAAAAGTTATTTTTATAAAACATGTTTGTTTCTTAGTTTCACTGTTAACCTGGCTATAACACAAATAATTGAAATTCCACTATATTGTTTTAACAAGCTTCACAACACAAGAACTGAGCAGTTATTAATCTGTTCTTAGCCCTCTTAGCAAATTTGGCTTCCTCCCAGCACACATCACAGCAATAGTTGCATTTTTTTTCTTTTTTTAGCTTTTACTGTTCCAGCTCTTTCTCTTTTTTGTTAATTTTTTATTTTTTATATTAATTACAGTTTATTAACTTTGTATCCCAGCTGTAGCCACTTCCCTCATTCCCTCCCAATTCCACCCCCCCCTCATTTTCTCCCATGCCCCTCTCCAAGTCCACTGATAGGGGAGATCCTCCTCCCCTTCCGTCTGACCCTAGCTTATCAGTTCTCATTGGGACTGGCTTCATTGTCCTTCTCTGTGGCCTGGTAAGGCTGCTCCACACTCAGGGGAAGGTGATCAAAGAGCCAGCCGCTAAATTTGTACACCTAAAGAAACGAAGCAAGAAGGAAGACCCTGGGTAAGATGATCAATCCTCACTCAGAAAGACAAATGGGATGTACATTGGAAGAAGGAGAAAACAGGAAACAGGACAGGAGCCTACCACAGAGGGTCTCTGAAAGATACCCAGCAGTATATCAAAGCAAATGCTCAGACTCACAACCAAACTTTGGGCAGAGTGCAGGGAATCTTATGAAAAAAGGGGGACATAGTAAGACCTGGAGAGGACAGGAGCTCCACAAGGAGAGCAACAGAACCAAAAAATCTGGACACAGGGCTTCTGAGACTGATACTCCAACCAAGGACCTATTCATGGATATCACCTAGAACCCCTGCTCAGCTCTTTCTCTTGATTCATCTAGACCTCTGCTATGTCTGAATTTCCTACTTCCTCTTCTAACTCCTCCTGCCCAGGCTGTCAGGAAGTCCAGCCCTATTCTCTCCCCTGCTCAGTGACTGACTGTAAGGTGCTTTTTGGCCATATCAGGGGACAATTGGGAAGCACTATATACCATACTGAGACAGGAAAGTGTCAGAACAAAGCTCGTAACCAGATATGGGGGGGACAGAAATCAGCTTTGAATTATGCAATAACCTTATGCCTAAAGTTACCTCTTCTTAAGTTCCCCCAAATTATCTC